ACTAGCATAACGCACGCAGTCGCGAGAACAAGACGCAACAGAAACACAATATACACGATAGGGAAGAAGAGCTCCAACAGAGTAGGATGAACAGGACTGGCGTAATAAGATACGACGTAGCGATCGGGAACCCTGAACAGTTTTAATATTTTTACGATTGACATTTGTCAATATATATGATGGACATATATTTTAGTTATTTTAAAGTGAAGACAAGGCATACAATGTACTAGTTTGACGTGAATTGAGTAGCGCCTGAAGATGGCATTTTTATGCCGAAACATGTAGTGAGAGTGAGAGAAGATAGATAAGTGTATGCACTGCAAGACGGAATAAACAAATCATGAACTTGATGGGCTTTGTAACTTGAAAAACGAGCAGGTTGTGGGGGGGGGGGCGGGATGCGGCGGCATGGCATGCTGGTTCTTTTCTAAATGGCTTAAAAGCATCCCGTTACTTCTTTGGCAGTAAATGCAATGTACAATACCTTTTTGTTGTTGTTGTTGTCTGTTTCATGGTTGTACAGGCTACTCCCCTGCGTCGTCTAACTAAATTTTGCTTTCGTGTGGTACTATTTGAAGCACCCGAGAATGTACAGTCCCACATCACATTTCTCTCACTTCGTCTGAACACATTTCCTCTTTCCACGTGCAGAACAAACACGGCATTTCATTCTCATGGCACAAGAGGTCGGCCAGTGATGTCGATTGGCCTCCACTGGACGAAATATTGTGGATGACAGCAGGAGGTCGACCTAATGGGCGTTGTGGTTGGGAGCGACACAATACAGCGTGTTCCAGCATGTTGCGCATAAGGTTAAGACGAAAGTCCCTATGCGACAGTTTCGCACCGCAGGATGAAACTGTTCAGAATCGTCAGATCCAGTAAACAGAAGAAGCTTGTTTGGCAGAAATAAGGGGTTTTCAAAGAAAGTAGGGGGCAGGAAATTTTCCTTTGTATCAACTTCCGCCGAATACCCTGAATAAGCTGAGAAACTTGTGAAGATAGAAATATATAGGCTTATGGCCAGCACACTTTTATGGCATGCGGTTTCTGCTAACAAGCCCAAGTGTTACAAACAGGAAAGATTTTATACTGCAGAACTGTTGTGTGTAGGAGCGGAAAAATTTTATACTGCAGAACTGCTGTGTGAAGAATTTTTTAGTTAATTCCATTCATTTATCATAAAAATTGTATTAGATAGAGCAATTCCAAATACAACGCTCAAGCGCTCTAAGTGGAACTGGCAGTTAAACGTAGAGCAGAAACGTGGATTTAAACCCCTGCAAGCAGCGGGCATTTAAAGAAACCCCGGTCAGCTAGCTTTACCTGCGTTTCAAAACTCCGGCGGTTAAAGGTTAAGGACAGATTCATTTTCGTATTCTTAAGACCAATAATAAATTATACAATGTCGGAAACAGTTTGTCCTTCTCTTGCCTTGCATCCCATCCCATCCCATCCCAATGCGGAGGTGGCCTGTCTCCAACAGAACAGTTGTTTACAACAAAATTTTAAGTTTTTCTATTG